CTGTCGGGGCATAGGCGGAGATGACGAAAAGACATCGTTTCTCACGCCGATTTCTTCTCACTTTGATGGTACTTTCTAATCTAACACCGCATAACCGACTGTCGATTAGTGCTGCCTCAGCTCTAGCGCTTAGTGCGACACCAACGCCAGCAAGACCAGACGAAGATGCCACAGTGTCCCTGGATAAACGCACGTAAAACAAGGTTTTTGAAGTGACAGATGGAGAGCGAATTTGTAGTACTTCACCAGAGTCTTGAATATGGGTCTCGGATAGACAATAAACGTCAGTATTAAGACTTTCCAAAGACATGGCCAGCCCTATCTGTTGTCCGACCTGCATATGTCTGCGAACGTTGAAGGCAGCCAGTTTGAATGGTGCACGTGGTTTCAGAAAGACTGCTTCAGTACTCGTATTCGATGGTAACATACAATTTTCAACCAGGAAGTGACACGAAGACGTTAAGATAGAGCCGAATGTCCACCATAGGCGAGCTGCTGTATAAGTCGAAAAATAAGGATAGACAGAGTGGGAGTAAAAGAGAGTGAATAAATGACGTGGTAAATAATAATAATAATAATTGTTTGACAGTAAATCGCAGCGAGAATAGAGTTTTCAGTGAATATCATCATTTTCATTATCATTATTATATTTGTGTGTAGGCTGAGATACTGCCCGGGTGCCCAGACCGAAGCAGGTGGTTTTCTTAGGGGCCCACACCCCGAGCCTTCGACCATTGATTTGGGATTCGGTTATAGCGCCAGACGTTCGTTTTTCGTCCTCTCATTTTCGTAAACAAAACCACCGCCACGGGAAAGCAGTGAGCAGGACTTCCCTGGCAGAGGCTTTATACGCGTGGCCGTGTGAGAGTATTTCGAGAGGGAGGGCGAACCCACCCCACTCTCGGCCATACCAGGGCATTTGGGGGCAGAAAAGATTTTAGAGTGATTTTTTTAAACCGTGAGTATTGACTACGCACATGTCTTGGCTACATTCATTGTTTCACACGCGTACTAAAATACAGAGTGGAATGCTGCTTAATATACTTGCTACTTGATAAGCTAGTTTACATCTTGTTTTTACTGTTACACTTAGTTGTAATAATGTGATGAATGCATCTCTGTTTATACCCACTAAAGCCATTTTTGGTACGTGCTGAAATGCATTCCCAAAATTCTCGAATTACCGATTATGCATAGTTGCCTTCCATAGGTATTGGTTAGTTATATACAATCTACTGGTTACAAAATGTTTTATGTATTAAGATGTTGAAATACCTACACAGTGAAGGTCAACAAAACTATCGTTATCTTAAGTGTGCCTTATATTCGGCCTCAGTAGGTCTCATAAATAATTCGTTCACTTATGTGTAATATCTAAATATATTTTTTATGTTCAAGCTTATTTACCTGTACTTTAACATTATTTTTATTTAGGGCCGGAATTAGTTACCAGTTGCCGTCAGCAAGTTCAGAATCGTCTGTTTCTGGTCAAGGATCCAGCAGCTGCAGACCTTCAGATATTAATCGCACTCAGTGCCCCATCTGTAGGTCTACATACACAAATACCTCTACATCTTGGGAGTTGATTGGCACTCAGTCACCAAAAAATCTTAGATATCAAATCTCAAGTATTGTTTTACGTCTAATCTCACGTACTGGTCGACCATCAGATACATTTCCTGAAGTTGATGATAATGGTACTGATTCCAAAGAAGAAACATCTTTCACCGTTATTGGCCATAAACATAATCCAACAGAGAATGTTTAACTTGTCTATTAGTTTCATCGTAACACACTGTACAGTAACTTCAGATTACTACACACTTTTCTCCTATCTTCAATAGCACATTTTATCTGATGTTTTATGAGTACAGGTGTTTGAAATACTTAATTAAAGTTTTCCACTGAACGAAGAAATTATGTAGTAACCATCAACTTTTTAACAAAGCCTTAAGCAAAGTATAAAAGTTAACTAATTGTTTTCATAATTTCCTTATCCTTATATATAGATGACATTTGATCTGTATAATTAAACTCTCTACCTATATTTGGTTATATGTTTGTCCAATTTTCAATTCTAAGCAAGTAAAGTTGAGTCACTTATTTCCTCTGGTTAAATCTAAAAAATTCATTTCCGCAAATTACCAACTCTAATACTAACCAAACGAAGTAAAATTGACGTCACGTGTTAGATTCATTATCAATAAATAAATAAAGCCATTTAGTTAAATTAACATAAGTACCAAACGGAATCATACTTTGACTTCTAATCATATAACACTATCGCCATTGTTAACTACCTTTTAAATATCAGGTTCTTGTATTAGGATTTCGCCACCGTCAGTTTTTCAAATAAATCTTACAGTATGCGTCGTAAATTTGACCAGATATGTGGGATTCTTTCTCCGGTCACTGATTAAATGAGAGAGATCTTAAGACTAGAAATGTAGATTTATACAAAATATTCATCTTATGATAGACGCATCACATGATGTGTGTGGTCCCAATCAAGTACGTAGAACGAAACGACTAACAAATATTTCTTTGTCTTCTGTCAATATAAATTAGTTTTGTGATGGTTGACAAAAACTATCTTCGAAGATTGAGATTAAGTCATAAGATTGATAAGCTGTAGTATGATGACATATCTGAACTGTTATAAGTTACTTCTCACGTAGTCTTTTTTCTCTAGTATTTACATGTAATTTATGAAAATAATGGGACGTCATATGAATTTATTAGTATTAGTTCCTTTTGAATGATGCTTAATACGTTCAGTTTGAATCTCTTGTTTACTCAGTGTTATTATTTAATTTAGTGGTGGATTGTTTAGCTTGAAGATTAATTTTAATTATTTAAACGGTTGTAAAAACTAAGAGTATAAAATGGTGTCTTCGTTTGGAACTTAAATCTGATGAGATCTAAATATCCTGAACTCGACCTTGTGTGAATGCGCCTATAAGAGTTTTCTACTTTTGATATCAGTCTGTGATAAAAACTGACTTTCTATTCGATCTTAGTCATTTGTTTCTATGTTTCTTTCTTGAGTTCAACCTTTATTGTGAAATAAGTCTCCTCAATTTCTCATATTAATTATTATTTGTATTGATTATTTCAAAAATTCTATTTTCATTTTCTTAACTTGATTGATTTATCAAAGACTTTCATCTAACCAATTTAATTTATTGAATCATACGTTAATGTATCCATTTTTCGCATGAATAGTAGAAAAGTAATACCATGTGGTATTAATGACCTTCAAATTACTTTGAAGAATAAACCATTTTTATGTTAAACCTCAATTGTTTTCATTTCTAATTAAAATAAATCTGTTCAAAAGAATTAAATAAGTTAAAATTCACATATTTCGTAAAGCATGTAAGTTTAAAAACGGAAAGGGTTTCGAAAAATGACATTTAAATCTGTTTCACAGTAGTAAACTTTTGGGAACAGTTATTTAGATCACTTATTTGGCATAGTTTGTCCCATCTATAAATTTGAATGAAGAAAGGATAGCGATCTTAGAAGAATGATGTGGTTCTAATTATTTCATGGATTCTCTTCAGTTACATACCGTCTAAAATAGTGCTAATCACTATATAATAATTAAAGTTAATTTTCTGTCCTTGAATATTTAATCGACTGGTCATTTAGGCTAACCTACATGTTGAGTTCAAGGTTGGATATCGAGTCTGTACAAGCTTAATAAGGTTTCCTCGTCTTCAACTCGAAAAGATCACAAGTTTCAGCTTTTCATGAAAAAAGCCTGAATACTACATACAAAACAAGTATGTTTTATGTAAGTATTTATCGTGGTATTGAACTGTTATCATTGTTTTATTTTTATTTCATATACTTTGTATTTGGAAATGTCATTTTTTCATTATTTCTTTTTTTTACATTCCCATAACTCAGTTGTTTTTGGTATCATTTAAATTTCCAAAATAAAATTACAGAAATGAGACGTTCACCAAGTGATTTGGGGATCTAGCATCCCCAACATCTAAACCACCATTGAAAACCAGAAGCACTAGACATGTATTTCATCCTAGTATGAGACTATCTGAGGCACATATTCAACCTCTGCAAAGGATGAAACCCGGGATATTTGGTCTCGTATGCAAACGCTTAATCTCTTGACCACAGACAGAATATAATGCTGTACATGCATAGCTTTCACCAATTCGTGATATTGTAATACCATCTTCCATAGTCTGGGGTATATAACCGTCTCGCACGCAACCTGGCTGAAGTCCCCTAGTCACTTATTATTCAAAGATACGTAAATGAAATTTTGATGTTTATGGTAAATATATTATGTTTGAAGGTTTATTCAGTTAGTCATTTCTACTCATCTATTATCAAATACACAAATGAACATGATAGGATCTTGACTCATTGGAATTGTTTTATTCAATCTTATAATTGATAGATATAACATCTATTAAACCTTATAAAATTTTGTTTTAAAAATAATGAAAAATTTTTATTATGTAAGTAAAACTATGAAAAATGATAATAAAAGGGTATATAATTTTTTTTTCTTGTTTTTTTTTACAAATACAAAGATCTCTACATACAGAATTGAAATAAATTTAAGTGTTTTTTTTTCTTCACTATTGTTATAACATATCAGATGTCAAAATATGATTCTGTATATTAGAATCTGAACATTGAAAGAAATTATAATATATAAGGAAATCGGCATAAAAATTGATAAATAAAGCCAACAACAGCGACAAAAAATGGAATTGTTTATATCACATATTGAATTAAATACATTGATGGGTTGTAGATGAAAAAGAAAAAAAATTTTACAGAAAATGCTTTCAACCTAAAAATTTACAGCAAATACATTTTTTTTGTTTTCTTCAATCAAATAATACAAATGATATTAAAATATTAAGTTATCATTATTGTGAATATTCAATGTACATACTGATTATATTTTCGTTTTCAAATCTATGTATAATGAATATTATTAAAATGATATTTATTCGCTAAGCAAATGAATGTATAAATCGTTGACCATTTCTGCCTGTACGAAGAGCGAAGTATATTCCTGCGGCAAATATTATTATGATTAGGATTGTTCCAATAATAATTAACGCTATTACAGTTGGGCTTACTGAAGAAGGAAAAAAATAATTATTGAAATAATACAATGATGTAATACATCTTGTTGAATAAATCAACTAGTAAATATGTCAACAATGTTTCTAGATTATTAGATTCTTTCTAAAAATAGGTTCATCAGGGATTTACATTTATTATTTTTATTACATATATTGTACAAAAGGATTTTTTAAAGTTATTTTTTGTTCCCATTCAATTCAGTTGTAATGAACTGATGAGTGTTAAGATATTTACTAATTATTATAAGTAGAGTTGAATGGTGGTTATCAGTGGGAACTAGGATGCATTTTTCGTCCTATTTAGGACTCAGCTGGATATATATCTACTGATCATTACAGTCCTAAACGTCAATGGGAAGATTCAAGCAATTAATAAAAATGAATTATTTGGTAAATAATTCATAAATTATCTTGAATTTAATTGTGAGATTTTACTGAGTAATTTTTTACAGGCATTATTGATATTATGAGTGATTATTATAAATTTATGATACAATTAAATGAACATCTAGTACTTCATTAAATAGATGTTTGAGGTGAGTTGTAATTTGAATTCAGGTTTTGTAGATCAATAATCTGTTTCGTATATAACGGTAATTTTGTTCACGACTTATAAATATACAGAAACATTCCTCTAACCAACTATGGATTAGAAATATAGTCATCTGAATTCAGTATATCAATGTTACCGAAAAATCCAGCTAGTAAGAAATGAAAAGTGAAGTGATACCCAAAACAAATGTACTTATAAAACAGTTTTTCATGTTGGTAACTTCTTTATCAATTTAGAATACACATGATACCCAACTAACAGAATTTCGAGAGGAGATGTATACTTAGTCTGACATTAGTTAAAGAAAATACTGATTTTGAAATCAACTTCAACAAAAGTTTAGAAGAGTCTTTAGATTGTAGATGGTTAGTTTTATCAACAGGAAATATTGTGTCTACGTATTCTGCTTATTGAGACCTATGGGAAATGGATTTCTGAATACTTGATAAATAATGCTTGCTCAGATATTTAAATGGATTCCACATGTAGCGGTGAATAAATACCTAAAATGAATAGCTCTGTGATATGGTGAGCTAATCAGAATCAGCCAATGTGAAGGCTACTTGACAATTTTAAGTGACCTGACGGATAGACGCATATTATTGGTTAATAAATGGGTCGGTTTTCTAAGGAGTATATATATAACAATGAATATTTGTGCATATTATTACCGTCCACCATTGTGTTGTTACTCAACCTGTCAGGTGGAGGGTAGCGTGTAGTATGTCGTGTACTAATATCAGATTTCGGATACTGTCCATTATAAGACGCTGTAAGTCTTGTACATTGATTCTGACCTCATTGGCTTAACTGGATTCACCATAGCTGGAGGTGCTCGGTCACGCATCTGCACTAGATCACAATTGGGTCCTCCGTGTTGTACGTCTCTCGTATCAACTTGCCAGCTTAGATCACGTACTCTCGACATATTTGCTAACTTCCAGGTATATCTTGGAACTCCTCTATTCCTGACCTCTGGTTCGACCGGGTTCGGGATTCTCGATGGTAAAATCGTTACAGATAGAAGCATTGACAAAACCTAAATGTCCGTAACATCTTTACACATATTACTCCAGTCATATACTTTAGAAAAAAGCTATTCATATCGTGATCGACCTCTTGCAAAGTCAGTATGTTTACATTGATTGGTCATCGATTATTTACTAATGTGTGACTAATGAACCATAAGTGTCGGCCGGATTTTGATGGACACTTTACTGTGTTGCTAAAAGATAAAGCATTTTGACTTTTCGATTTACTGATATCTCATATAAGGTAATTAGAATCATGTTCAAGGAAACTTGATTGATGTGGTTTTTTTAACACTCAAGACTGAAATACGTACTGTCAATTACTACTTATAAATCATTAATAAGCAGTGTTATGTTCAGATATTTTACCTCGCAGTTTTGAATTTTAAGTGATGCTAATTGTCACCATAGTTTTTTTGGAGGAAGAAGGTTAGGTGAAAGGCTATGCATTACGTAACTAAACGTACTTATACACTGTTCTCCGGGTTGTTGCATGTTTAAATCTATCCACATTGGATTACATACACAAACGGCACCGTCAGATCTCTCGATACATTGAGCATGTGGTGAACATTTTGCTGCGATCGTACTACAAGTTTCCTTTTGCATAATTACTAAACAGATTAATCAAGAAGAATGGATTGATATTAGTTAATAAAGATGGTTAATTAATTACACAATATAAACTGTCTATAAGAATTACATATTTCATACACACGTATATGGTTCAAATTTTGCAGGTAGTGTAAATCATGTGTTATGTGAATTGGTTTATTGGTCAATTGTGCTGCTGCGTGTATTGGCTTGACATTCAAATAATTCAGTGAGTTACTGACTCAGTTTTAATGATCATACATAGTACAACAAATAGGTAAATACTCCAGACATATTACGAAAAATATACATGAATAAATGTTAGTAACCAATCAGCGAGACTATAATTTATGGACGACTTTGAGAGACGCTAAAGTGACCTTCAGAATGTCCACCCACTAACTAGAACCAAATGATGGTTATAAACCAGTGCCAGGAATTAGGATTATGATTTAAAGTTGATGCTTAGGGTTAGCAATTAAATTCAAGGTTGCCATCATGAACTGATAAGACACTATTTAGCTAAATGGATGAATAAATTTTGCACCAAAATCCAAGAACTGTCATCCTAATTCTGATTGGTTTCTCCCAAAATTATAGTCATGCCAATTAATCAAATAATTAATGGGTTTGTAGGTATCATTACTAAGGTTTGATTTGATAATTTCGAATAAATTGAGCATTGGGTTGATTGTTATAAATAAATAACATATTTGTAATATCCCAATGAAGAAGTGACTTACACTAAGTCACGAAACGTCAGAAAATCTAATTTTCTACTCATTGGGATATTACAAATATATTATTTATTTAAAATAATTAATGGGACTGAAAAAGACACTTAATTGCATTAGGAGTGCATATATCGTACGTCAGAGAAATAATTAAGTATATTAGAGCACCACTGAAATTCTGGAATCACTGAATGGCCACATCATCATTGTATGGGACTTTTTAGCAGTGCGCATCCACGACCTCGCACGCGGGATCAGAACCCAGGACCTTCGGCCTCGCGCGTGAACGCTTGACCTTTATACCACCAAGTCACCATCCAACGGTGTTACCGTCTAGCTCCAACCAATCGAATCTCGCGTGCGAGATCGTGAATGAGCACTGCCTAGGAGTCCCCTATTAGAACGAAACGGCTACTTAGTACCTCCAGGTTTTCAATATTGCTCTAACATTGATTGATTCATGATCTCAATCAAAACTCAACAATCTTCACAACCCTATACTAATAATTAAGTATAGATTCAGCAAATTAACAACAGGTTTTATTTTGAAATGTTTATGTTACATAAAACATTTAATGCCATGATAATTAATGTTCATGAAAATGAACATAGAATGGAAATTGACGGATTTCCAGTTTTCACGTACATGAATTCTCTAGTAGTTATTTATTAGCGTTTCAATAGTCCTTTTATATGTATAGAAGAGAACAATAAACTACAAGGTTTATTCTGAATAATCGATTTAGATATCTAAGTTTAGTCTTTACACTTATTACTGAAGATGTTAGTTTTTTTTATAAAATAAGCAGACATTATTCTTTCCTATTTAGCTCCAGGCCCCCAAAATGTCATGGTACGGCTGAGAGTGGGGAGAGTCAGCTCTCCCTCTCGAAATGCTCTCAACCACTGCCAGGGAAGTCCTACTCACTGCCTCCTCGTGGCGGGTGTTGTTTACGTAATTGAGGGGACGAGAAGCGAATGTTCTGCGATTTAACCGGGTTGGTTGATACGGAGAATCCACGTAGGGGAGTTGGAAAACCCTGATTCCAAACCAATGGTGTACATAGGCTGCAGGATCCTAGGGAAACAAATGGCGTATGGAACATTTATTGGTCACCGGCTACCATGGGACTGCATCCCCTTACGTCGCTCCACTGCCTTGTGGATCAGACCTTTAGGTCAAAGCCTCGGGTTGTGCCCCCCCCAAGAGAACCGCCTGCTCCAGTTCAGGCACCCGGGCAATATTTCGGCCCTCACAAAAATCGAGTGATTTATGTGGCGCATATCTGTTTGGTGTCTCCGTGTACCAATGTTTGTGTTTTAATAAATTAATATATAAAATATAAATATATTTAGAAGTTCTCTTATAAAATGTAATACTTTTAAACAGTGTTCATAAAGATATAAGTAATATTTCTTCTAGTCTTAGTAGTATTATTATTAGATTTATTCTTGATCACTTCAATGGATATAAAAGCAATTGGAATCAAACAGCATTTGACAATTATTTCATCTTACTACAAAACTCTTCAAAAATCCCCAACTATAACCTCTTACAAGAGTAAATTTAAATTCTTGAAGTTTGAAACAAACAAGATATCAATGAGTCACCCAATTGATATTTAAAGGAAATGGTGAATTTTCGTTCTATTTGCTCGAATTCGTAAACTGTTTTAGGAAAACAACACTAATAAACACTAATATCTGTATGTGCATTCATCAGAATTGCTACATTCACAACTGGTAGTGATGAAGGGACAAACTAATACAATTTCATCAAAGAATAATAATAATGTTCAAAACATACACTTAAATGATATTATACGACTGGAATCGATTGACTCATTTTTTAACAGATCTATTACATATAATTGTGAACCCAACTGAATTGCTTGAAGAATTTGTGTTTGAGTCACATTGAAGTTATTTATGTATTCTACAATTATCTGTACATCAGATTTCACAGAACCCGGATAAAAACGAAGAACATTACAAGTAGTTACGGTGAATTGTATTGATGTAATATATCGAGGGCTGGCTTTTATCTGCAAAAAAATATTAGATGAAAGCATAATAAATAAAATTTATTGAGATTTATGTGAAATGTTGCGTTGAAATAAATTCTTTTATGAATGTACGTCAAAAACGAATTTACATGTAGAAGGATACAGTAATATTTAATCTCTGTTGCCCAATATAATAATAATGCTAATAAAATCTACGTATCCTATTTTACTTCATATACATTCTGTCGACAAATTATGTTAATAACAAATAAATATTATATTTGTAATATCCCAATGAGTAGAAAATTAGATTTTCTGACGTTTCGTAACTTAGTGTAAGTCACTTCTTCAGAGAATAAATAACCAAATTAAAATTAATCCAAGTTTAAATAGTACAACGGAACAATACAAGAATAATATTTGATCAATCAAAAAACAGATATGAACAAGTTGATGTCATGTCATTTTTGTCAAGGTGATTCACAAGTGATATGTATGTGAATTTGCATGTGTATGTATGTGTGCATTGTTTAAGAATGAAAAATTGTGTGACCTTTATGGTAAGATGGGATAGAGTTTAAATTTGTAATATGATAGTGTGAATTTGTAAATATGATCAGACTGAGTAGCTAGAATAAATGGTCCAAGTAGGATGTATGGTAAGGCCTTCCTTTCTGTTGAGAGAAGTAGGATTAAGCATTATATGGAACGCCTCAGCTACCCTTCTTTCTTTGTAGTTGGAAAAGCCTTTTTGCAATATTATCCGGATTAATCATCGAGAAGAATGAAATCATGGTAAGCTTTGATGTCGTTTTTTTATACACAAGTGTTCCCATTGATAAATGCTTAGAATTCATTGGTGGTTTACTTGAGAACGATATTACTCTTCCTGACAGATGTCCGTTGAGCATCAGTCTAATCATGAAATCATTAAAACTCTGCTTAACTTCAACGCTATTTACTTTTAACGGTATGTTATTCAAACAAACTAACGGTGTAGCAATGGGATCCCCTGTATCCCCGATTGTAGCCAACCTTTTTATGGCATACATTGAATCAAATATCTTCGCCCACAACATTATACCACGAATTTGGCTTAGATATGTAGACGATACTTTTGTTGTGTGGTGGTCGGTGTTCGATATATTCCTTAAACTCCGTATACAGTTCGTCTCGGTAACAGTCACCAAATAATGCTCCAACGGTATATTAATCAGAAGGCGAATACGAAGCGTTAATTACGTTTATTAAGGGACCACACACAGATATCCAAAATTACAGATGCGTTGAGCAAGCATGAAATAGTTATGCCGAAAGGCAAACAGGCAAGCGAGCGAGCGAGAGTGAGCAAGGGCAAGAGTGAGCGATCGAGCGAGTGAATGAACGAGCGAGCGAGCGAGTCATGAATATGAATAACATGGACATATATATACATAGTGAAATGAATGAATCATCGAGTCAATTAAGCGGTTAATAGTAAAGCTAGTAGCGTGAATAAATGCGTAGGCAGTAAGGCTTGCCGAGCATACGTATTCATACAAGGATAACAATAATAAAGGTACATACATTCGCAACAGTAATAAGGATACAATAAGTTATTAAAGTGCAGGTGACTTTGTCCGTTTAATAAGTTAATAAAAGGGCTTAACCGAATTAGGTGAGAGCAAACTCAATTGAATGTGAGTTGCTATAGTTGTTATAAAAAAGACTCATCTAAGATCTTTTTCAAAACGAATAAATACACTTTCATCGCACATCAAATTCACCAATGAAAATGTACATGGTGAGCTACCATTCTTAGATTGCTTAGTAAAAAGAAATCCAAATGGAAGTCTAAACCTATCCATTTACCGAAAACCGACGCACTCAAACCGTTACATTGACTTCCATTCAGCACATCCTTTCAGTGCTAAGATCTCGCTAGCCTTAAATCTTTTTAGAAGAGCTAACAAGATCATCACATCAAAGGAAGACAAACAAAAAGAACAAATGAATATAATTAACAACTTACAATTTAATAATTTTCCTTTGAAGATTATTAGAAGCATATTAAAACAAAACAGTTCATTACGTTATAATAATGATTCGAATGAAATACCATGGATTGGTATTGCAGTTTTAACATACCGTCATGGCACAACAGAAGAAATCCAAAGAATCTTGAAACAACACAGAGTTAAAGTATACTACAAAACAACGAACACACTACGTAATACTTTAGTTCACCTAAAAGACAAAATCCCCTTCATGTACACACAAAACTGCGTCTACAAATTAGGTTGTATCGATTGTGATGCTTTCTATATTGGAGAGTCATCCCGCGAAATCTTGACTAGAGTCAAACAACATATTAGGCACACAAAGAAACCTCCTAACAATCCCGTAGAATTGAACCAACTTCAAATTAAATCGGCAATAGCAGTTCATGCCATTTTCAACAACCACCAAATCGATTTTAAAAATATCAAAATGTTGCAAAAAGGCTTTTCCAACTACAAAGAAAGAAGGGTAGCTGAGGCGTTCCATATAATGCTTAATCCTACTTCTCTCAACAGAAAGGAAGGCCTTACCATACATCCTACTTGGACCATTTATTCTAGCTACTCAGTCTGATCATATTTACAAATTCACACTATCATATTACAAATTTAAACTCTATCCCATCTTACCATAAAGGTCACACAATTTTTCATTCTTAAACAATGCACACATACATACACATGCAAATTCACATACATATCACTTGTGAATCACCTTGACAAAAATGACATGACATCAACTTGTTCATATCTGTTTTTTGATTGATCAAATATTATTCTTGTATTGTTCCGTTGTACTATTTAAACTTGGATTAATTTTAATTTGGTTATTTATTCTCTGAAGAAGTGACTTACACTAAGTTACGAAACGTCAGAAAATCTAATTTTCTACTCATTGGGATATTACAAATATATTATTTATTTATAACAATCAACCCAATGCTCAATTTATTCGAAATTATCAAATCAAACCTTGGTAATGATGCCTATGTTAATAACAGCTTACATATAAAAATTCTAATATAAAAGTATTTGAAGTCGGTATGTTTTAGACAATCTTATAATGAATGCCTTTTTGATAAGTCGAGAATTAAAATTACGATCAAGACATTGTGTCTAGATCACGATGTTTAATTGTAAAATCAATTGTTATTGAAATGATATTTGCCAACTGAATATTCTAGAGTGATCCTGGTCTCCAGATACGTGTACTCATGAGGTGAAGAAGAAGAAGAATGCCATTAAGATGAACCTCATTTTCATTGAATTTGCCATCTATAGATTTTGCATATATATATATCCATCATTAATTTTTGAAAATTATTACAAATAAAATACAATAAGTTAGTCACTGAAGAGATGAAAACAATTTATTTATTATGTAGGCGCTTTCCGCTCATTTAACATCATGTTCTTAATTTAGCTCCACAGTTATCGTTAGCAATTAAAATATCTTCGTAATCACTTATGTTATGTAAAAACCCTGTTATATATAATGGTAATTTTGGGCGTAAAGGAAACTGTTTATATTCCTGAAATTTTCGAAATCAACATGGAATTTAGTTGTTATTGTTGGTTTCATGTGTTTAGTGTAAAGTTATTTTGACCCTGTAATAAATTTAGATTTTTATTTTATCTCTGTAACACATTCATCCATTTCCAAAAGTCTTGTGAATATGAAAAGAAAAATAAATTGGTTATTGAAACAAACAAAAGCATGATCCCTTCGTTTTGAAAATAACTATGTAGACCTTTCAACAATCATTTTTAAAGTCGTATATACATTAATCTTCATAGTGGAGGATTGTCAAGTAATATTAGAAACAAGTTCAATAACCGATGGATCTTAAACCAATTTAATAAGTAGGCTTATTACATTCTTTATAAATCATATTTGTGCTTTCACTGTTTATACTGATTGTGAATTTGTATTGTAGACTACTTGGCTCTTCCTTAATAACAATTTTAACAGGTGAAACTGGATAAGGTACTAATTTTCCTTAAAATTCCGATGAATACATTCTTAACTTTACTTGAACCAAAACAGGCTTTCTTTTATAAATTATGAGAACAGCACATTTACATCTTGAGAATAAGTGTGCAATTTATTAGGATGTACGAATGGTCTGTTGGCCTCAGAAAAGACCAGTAAAACATACAGTTCTAAAATAGACGAACATAAAGTAGATTTCAATATTTTCTAGTAAGCTGCTTCTGTTCTGTTTACATACTGACAAACTAATTTTTAATTTCGTAGTTATGTGCTTCATTTCCAGAACTAAAATGTTTATAAAGAAAAGTAGTTGAAATGGCACGGTCTCTTAACCTGTTTAAAAATGTCTATGTAGCTGCGACTAACATTTCTTATTATATATGTTTAACAGTCTGGTAGACAATCTTATTGTTGAGGTAAATTATAAACACGTTATCTTTCATATTCTACAGACATATAATTGTTGTTATAACGTGTGATCCGCCTATTAGAGAGCAGCCTATTATCGATCGATACAGTGACGCATAAAATACGTGCGAGCAGCTTAGAGTTCTGATTGGCCCTATTTCACTGTGTAGCCCAGCCAGTTGAGTCCAGAACACAAGTCTCAGCCTCGGTGATATGAATCATTATATTTCAAACATACTCTGTCTATATAGCAATCAAACAGACCACAACGTACCATAAATTAGAAAATAACATTTGTACAAGATTTAACCTTCAGGAAATGACACAAATAAATATTGACCAATAGGGAAATGACACGTTGGAAGAATGTTGACCAATGGGGGAATGACACTATTTCTCATTCAGGAATAGCATTAGATAATTTCTGGGGTATTTTCTGAATACCCCAACAATCGTAAACTCCTTTTAGTTTATAAAAGGTTAGATAAAAATCAACTACACATAGGACTTTTAGCCTATTAAGTCAGATATTCGTAAATTATCAAAATTGAGTACTAGTTTTGAAATTCGTTAAATGCTGCACAGCATCATCACATTAGTCGCTTTGAAAATAAGCTTACTTACTGAGGACACAACTGAAAATTGATTTGTTATGATTATGTAATGCAAAACAATGACCATATTTAATAAATAAATGAACAATCTATTTTAAATGACATGATTGCATACCGAAGCACAAGTTTTTTCAGCAGTACTATTGTAAAGTTCAGAAAATTTGTTGGACAGTTCGAAATTCCAATTTGTTTGTTGATTTCCTATTAAAATCTCCACTGTCATTGATAGTTCTAGTATATCTAAAATGATATTGATTACACTTTAAGATGTATAATTAAATTTAATGCAGTAAAATTGAGGATGTATAATCTATGTTTAAAATTTATCTTCAGGTTAATCAGTGTTTGTAGGCATTAAAACGAGTGTATTCTTGATAAGCTTATTAAATATTTTTAACACTTTTTTAAAAAAACTGGATGTTATATTTATGATTCAAGGTTAATTGTAGCACTTAAACAACTTAAATGTTTATATCAATACTGGTTTAAGTTGATAAGATTGTTTAATGAAAGTTAAAGCATAAGTTGTAATAATTGTTTGTTTTAAAAAAAAGGTTGACATTATTTTCATAAATCATAGATTAAACCTTTACGTTAGACAACAATTTGAGTGTTAAAATTATCTTCATCTTTTCTTATATAGATGATACATTTTGAAGAAACATGCATTGAAGATGTTGGCTCATGAAGTAAGTAATATATCAGTAAAATTCCTTAATAAATTTTTAGCTGTATCACCCGGTACAAAATACTGTGATCAATTTAGTATCCTGTAATGCTAAATGATCACCTTTAGTAAACCTATGGGGAAATGTTATTAACAAGAGTGAAATAATCAGATAATAAAGAGAGCTTGATGTGCCATCGATTAAGATAAAAGCCATCGATAAATTATAAAACACCACAAAATTTTTAAATAATTTCCAATTAACTGGTGTCTTCGTAACATAATCTTAGTTTTGAACAGATATCTAATCCAATCCTATTATTTTATAGTTTATCAACTAAATAAATCACTTAAGATCAATTGACTTAATCATTCTTTTCATATAATCTTTCTCATTCTCTTTTCAACCTCTAAAGAGTAAGGAATCTTGGTAATAAACTCTCAGGGAATTCCCGTCACTTAGTTGGAAAATGGCTGAGTAGAACTTATGACCACAAGTGATATTAATGAAAATATCTGCTGACCCATTGTTTGCAAATTGATAATAGTTGTGGGAAATAATCTCAGTATTATGAGGAGAATATGAAATCTGATTCTATTTGATTGGTAGTGTTATAACGTTTTTGCTTAGTTTAGTAATATTACTTGATTGAATGATTATTGTGAAATGATATGGACGTAAATAAGAAGTCATCATTTTAAATTTCGACATTATTCTGTCGATACAAGACTAATTAAAAGTTTTGACATACAGTTAATATTTAAAGTATAAACAATGAAAAAACCAACTCACTTTTCGTACTGAAAGTCGTTTTGCTTAATTCAGTTGTCTCTGAAAAACAATATGAATACATATTTTACAATAATAATAAATGATGATACTATGAACTTGGTCAATATAATTTTTGTACAGGATTTTATTTAATCTATTGGTGTAGAAATTACTTGAATATTATTGTAGTAAGCCTATTCAACTACTTTATTATTTGTTTACTCGCTGTAATTTAGACATTTAATCCACTATATAAAATTTTGTGTGAGTCGGTTTGAAAAAAATGTCAGGTCATCAAACTTGATCTATTCACTCATTGGTTGTAAAAAAAGACAATGAATAATTTATTCAAAATCGACGAACACTCACAAATATATATGAATTTTAAACATTTACTTGTTACCTTGTGTACTTGCTGTCTGCACGCTTGCGGATTTTGATACTGTTTAAAAATAAACTATCTCTACAACTGGTGTTGAAGGATATCTCTTCAAGACCACAGTGTGTGCGTGTGTATGCGTATGTGCAGAGAGAGAGTTTCTGTTTCTCTTTCTGTTTTTAACTATTTGTGTATCTAATTCACTTGATATTGTTTTATGTGAATCTTCCCATTGATGTTTAGGACTGAAATTGTTCAGTCTGTTATTGGCATATGTACATACTGTGCGTATGCCTCGATATTGCCTTAATTTACAAGCATTATAAGCAAAGATGGATAGTGGCTAGCAGTGCAATCCAGGACGCGCGTTTCGTCCTATTTGGGACTCGTCAGCTGGATGTACCTGCATCTCACAGTTGATGTTCACTCCGGGAGTCGAACCCAGTACCGTCCGCTTCAAACGCCATCGCGTTATCCACTTAGCTACTGAGTCTTGATAGCCACTTGCTTGTGCAATGGGGTGAAGTTTAATTCACTTGATATTGTTTATGTTCGTGTCACGTGGATATCTTCAGGTCGACTGATGTACAACGAAATGTGGAGAATGGAATTGACCGAATCACCTCACTGTCTGTCACACCAATCCACCACATACTAACAGACCACTTATTCCATCAATCAATCAATCATCCAAACATTCATATAATTATTCTCTCGTCTAACGTTTTCTGAAATATCTACTAGCTTCTCTCTACTAATTGGTTTATTTTTACTTGATTCCGCTTTCTCCATCTGTCGATATGTTAGTGGTTTTTATCTTTCTCTGAATTTGTCCGTTATTATTTTTACTCCCTCTGCCTTTTTCAGTTTTTCATGATTCCGTTAATTTTTATGTGTTTGAGATCACGACACTTTTATTGTCCTTCAGGTTTGTAAGCGTTTTCAATATAGTTCAGCGATTTATCGAACTTTATTTTCTCTCGATGTTTCTACCTACAGTTTCTTCCGTACGTGTAAATCACACGGTCACATTTTCTTTCTTGACTGATGTTTCTTCAGTTCGTTGATTGTTCTACTATTTACTATTTGTGTTTATTCTTTGATTGTTGATCCTCACTCTTACTGATTTTACGTTTGGAGCAATCTCCCTGTACTTTCGACATAACAGCAGATAATGTGGAACGCGAACTTGATTATGGATGAATTTCCATTGCTGACCGAAAAGTCGTTTACCTACTTGAAGTAATTTAGCGTTTGTTAATTTGTTCCACATGGAGCATAACTCGCTGTTTTCACTACGTGTTTTCATACATACACATCATCATAATTTGTTCTTACCATAAATATTCGATAAATCAATCGTTCTTATCTACCTTTTCAAATGTACTGCCTTACATTCCGATACCCTGATTGCTCGTAACATCTTTAACTTTATGTCACATGGGGGCCTTACACATACTGCAAACATTTCTGCATTGCTGCGAATACGGGTATATAGTATTTTGGATTTCTCTAACTAATTTATTGTCACTCCATATTCTTTTATCTGAGGAAGATAATCCCAATAATACTGCAGTCAAAACTACTGGTCGAAGAATCAATTCACAAAGGTGAATATTCAGAGTATTTTACTCGTACAGTTTGCAATCTTAAGACATAAGTTCTCATGTATATTATCGACTCAGTTAAAATATATTGCAAACCACTTACTTACCCGTAGTATTGTAAGCATCGGTATTCTGAGATTCAGTGATCACCTCAGTGGTTGCCACATGGATTACAGCTGCAAATACAAAGAGAAACGTGTACCTATTCACGTCACAAAAAACTGAGTATACATGACAATTAATCCTGATTATGATTAGCTGCGAGCCATAGCAGACAACCAGGTATTTGACAGTGAATGAATTCGAGACACTTTCGCTGTAGATGGTTCGCAGGTGATGGAGTTGTTTCTCAAACTTGTGAACAATTCCATTTCCTCGTTGATCGAACGCTGAACATTCCATTTCGTCGCGCGTTGTGATCTGACCGACTGTAAGACTCTTTAAAATGTAAACGGAATTCTATACCAAACAGAATATATGGAAAGGTCCTATACGAGTGACTGAGGATAAAACAGATTTCTATTGTCTCTCTAGAACAACAAATTTGAAATAGGACCAGACAGTTTCATGAACTAAAATCAAGAGCATCCAATAGATGATCACATCATACATGCATGTTAATTGTTGTTCAGGCGATATTTAACGTGGGAAATAATCAGTTGAATCCTACAAAGTTCGCTTCCTGCGTCGGATTCGCCCATCATCAATTTCCAAGATGCATCGAGAAAGTGGCGTTCAACTCGCAGGATAAACGGGTTTATTCAACCGACGTTAAACACAAAATTCAATTTCAATAAAGCTCGAAAATATCACATGCACTCACTTTCTACTGCCAAGCCACTTGATGTGCCGAAATACACTTGCTCCGAACCATTGGCAACCAATTCTGCTATGTATTCCACAACAGCATTGCGAACAGTGTCTTTTGACACTTCAGTTGATGAAAAATTCTCACTTGTGCTACTGTAATCGATGACTAATACAGCACTTCCAATAACTGATCCACGTGAGAAGCCAACAACTGTGCAATTAACATTGATTATTCCCTCAATGTAAGTTGAATTGATGCTGTCCAAAAGCTTGGAGATTTCGTGAGAAGAAAATGGTGCGTGTCATAACGGGATGAATATTTTAAAAGTTGGAAATTTTGAAAATGGTTTTCGAATTAATATCATGAATATTATTATTATTATTATTATTATTATTATTATTATTATTATTTATGTTATCATCATCAATTATGTTTTTCCTGTATAAATACTAAGCAACTGGATTATTGTGTCTATATAATACGTTAACCACAAGCCTTCGGTTAACCCGTTAACCACTGATAGACAACTCTACACTCCCAGATTGTTGCCAGTGTACTACTTACGGCTTGCATTATTCACAAACACTTTCGGCTTGTCTATGTATGGTTGTGAGTTTTCACTCAGTGGTGCGATGTGGTCCAGCACGTTTGCATATAAGCCCGCGTATGCTTGAGGTATAAGAATGATAGAGGTTGTCTGTTGACTTCCCTCTTTGACTCGAGTTGGAAGGTAAAGAAGGACTTACGAGTAGCGGAAAAATAGGAGCTTGACTTGCATTGCCTCAAGGTGGACGGTGAGGGTCAGACCTGTGGTTGGTCATTGCTTGGACACTGGGTCATGGAGGAAATGGTAGACACGGAATGGAAAAGAAATTAGAGTTAGAATTCCAGTTGGTAATCTTAGCACATGATATCAATCGGCATCTCGAGCCGCAGAAATATGAGCAGCGGTTTTTCAATCGAATAGTCAGTAATGAATAAAGACGTGAGTTAGTCGCAGTTGATAGTCAGTGCGACATCATAATCTATAACATCAGGCAAATGGTGCTATACTGTCACTTAGCTCGGTGAGCCTACCTCGTGGTGCCATGAATGTTAGGTTAGACGAAATTAGCTCGTCGACATAAATCATTGTTGTATGAATGTCGTACAAGTAGTTTGGTGGAGTTTTGTAGCACAATATTTCGATTGTTGGTCACACTAAACTCCTAATCCAGAGATCCTGATTGATACTGACAAACGACGTCATGCAGCATCATGCAACACGTGTTAATACTGGTACTTCCTCTTATTCGTTTGTGTGAATAGTTGTGTCTCATCCTATATGTCTCCCATCACTAATACCACAGTGGCGATCTGTGACTGGCTACATTTAGCAAAACATGTGCAGACATAGTCATTCCAACCGGTTACACTACTGCCCTGTACTCGACACCGAAGTTTTACATTCACGTGGAAGGAGAACAAATTGGTTTTCCAAACTCGTGGATTAGTAAATATATTTATCGACTGGGTTACCTCAGTTGTCACTACTTGCAATATCAAAACGACTGGTCCATTACAGAGTCGTGCCGTCCATGTTGACTACTTTTGGTAATTAAGTTATTCATAATCAAACGAAACCAGCACATTCGCCTATATTTGATTGCACAATATCGTGATTGGAGACCATAGAATGTTTTGAGACTGCATCAGTTTGTGTGGAGTGAAACGAGATATGGTCTACATGGTAAGTGGTGAAGAACGGACACTATTAACCACGACGAGTTAAATCCATAATTGCATAAAACAGTGATCATGGAATCTACCCGAACAACACCTTGAATGTCTACAGGTACTATTTGTCACAGTTGGATAAAACAGTTGAATAGTACTCTGTGTCCTATAAATAGCTATTAAATAGCTACAGATATTTCCAAAAGCCGTCTTCAAATGTCAAACTTCAACCCTTTATCAAAAGACACAGGTTGTCTATACATTTCATCAGTTTTCCTCATTTTTATGTAAATTCAATCGAGAATTCAGTAACCAGCTTACCAAATCACAAATTTCAGTTGAATAATTTCGATATAAATCGGAACTAGGATCCAACAAACTGTCATTCCACTCCAAAGACTTGTTCGATCTAGTCAGCGTTGATGAGACTGCTACAAAAGAAATTAAATAGTTTCCAACAAGTCAAAGTTCATTGGTTTAAATGCGACCTCTCATTGAAATGAGAATATTGATTTGACTTACTGCTGCATAACAAAACAAAACTGAACGGTCTCTCTTCAACTCCACACCAGAAATCCAAGTGTATTCGATTTTGATCTGTCAAACTGATGGACAATATGAAGTGGATGGTTGTTTGATTTCCCACATCCATGCACACTGAATGCTACATGTTCGTGGTTTGTTATGGAAATAAAGAATTCTACATCAAGTAGTAATGTCTACCCACACACATTGGTTAATAAGTGAAACAATATTGTGACCGGAGTGACGCTCAGAAAACGAACATAGCGTGACTGCCACAGTTACAGTAAATTTCAGTACTTATCAGCTGTTTTACGAATACAATTAAATTATTCCACTTAGAAAGATTATGAATCATTTCGGTTTAACAGAGATTGTGGCCAACGTGACCAGACGACCCTGAGCAATTCAACAATAAATACTGATTGACAAGTAATTTCAATATATCAGTGTACTATACGTGACATCTCTTCGCTACACTGAATTTCCAAGAGGAACAATTCACCAAACCGTTTATGTAATACAATGTGACCACCGTACTGATGAATGAAATGGAAAGCAGAATCAAAACAATCAATAAGGGAAATAAATTGGTGTAACAAAACAAACTGTTTTATCAGATTTTGACTTACCGATTATTACTGTTTTCGTGAGGGGACCTTCTATAAAACATTTAAATAGATAACGAAGAAAATGTTCATTAGAAGAACACATGGAGTTTGGTTACATGCAATGCAAATGGACAAGCAGAAACACAAACACAAAACATTGGAGGAAGCAACTTGAATTCAAATAAACACACAAATGATGAAAACGTGAATTCAGGGGTAAACAATTTGGAGTGAGTAAAAGGTCAAATCATTGAATGCCTCAATCTAGTCACTTCACATAATCTACTACTCACATCATGTCTGTCTCTAATGATTTCCAATTTTCTAATCGCTTCTGTAGATTCGCCTTTGAATTCAACATATTTCTTTATACGACCTAAATTAAACGTATTTCACCAGCCAGTTTTTCATTACATTAATATGTCTCTTCATTATTATATGGCGGTGGAATAAACTAGATTAGATCACCTTGTCAGTCAATCACCATCAACCAAAAACTTGCAGCAAATGTGTCGCGGCCCAAACCTAAATTTGTATTACCTGTTTTTGATTACTTTCAGTGAGTTCATCTGATGACTGAAACTCAGTGAAACTTAGACTAAGAGTGTATTGAACTTAGCTATGAAACATATTATGCTACTTTATGACCTAGTGTCCATTGAACAATTTATCGAGAATAAGTTTTCATCCACCTTAATTTTAAAAGTATTTTGTTGTTTTATGTTTTAACATTTTACCATACTCCTCTTTCAATAACGAAGTTTAAATTAGATGAATAAGTAGAAAGTATACACAGTTTCTATAAAAGTACGTTAAAAGTATTGTGAAAGTTATGAAGAGCATCATTTATACTCCATATCTATTTCTCCTTTTTACAGATCATATTTTAACGTCTTATATTGTCTGATTGTCATTTTTTCACTATTAGTTTATTAATAAAACTTCTTTCTGGCCTGAATGAATAGATCTTCACATATAGTAAACATATGGTGAATGCAATTTGTTCCCTTTATGAATTGTTCTGCATCAATATTTGTTCTGGCTTTATTTATATGGTGAATGTTTCACTTAATTTCATAGAGTAAAGCGTGCCATCTTACACGATATAATTGGAGTTAGCTCCAACACTTGAGTAATTATTCTGAGGAACATCTCCCTAAATTACCTAATTATTGCTAGAATATAATAACTAATCATTAATATACATTTTCAGTTGCTGACTTTATACTGAATATGAGAGTTCTGAGGTATGAGGAGAAAAAAATGTTTCACAAAGTACTTGGCGAACTGCGGACTTAATAAACTTCAGAAAGTTTCTTTCTCGATGAAAGCTGTTTTAGGCATAAATCACTTCGTTTATACATAAACAATCAGAAGCTCCATAATCAAACATGCCAGGTTGCGTTAGGTTCGAAGTCGAGCCTACCACTTCACTGGTGCCGTGATCTCTCTCCGATTCGCTCGTATGGTTGAAAACTGTGTTGTTTGTCGGTTGAGCAAGCTACGTTGATTTCGTTCATTGAAAGTATGGAGTGTAGGCGGTTCGTCATTGGCGTAGTTTGGCTGCGTTAGGTTCGTCGTCATGCTCATCACGTTGGGTGGCCCTTCATTTTGACGACAACTAGATCGGACGATGGTGCCATCGACGAGCGGGATGAATATATGCGTGGGCAGTCAACAATGTTCACGCATACTTATTCATACAAGCATAACAATAATAAAGATACAATAAGTTATTATAGTGCAGATGACATTGTCCGTTCAATAAGCTAACAAAAGGGCTTAACCGAATTAGATGAGAGCAAACTCAATTGAACGTGAGTTGCTATAATAACTCGCCCCTGCAAACAAAGATATATAGAAAAAAATGTCTGTGTTTGAACAAAGAATAGTAAATTGAATAGAGTAGTTACAATCGTTTGGAGAAATGGGCTTATACAGATTAGGGTGAAGCTAATGTGTGCTGTGTATGTGGTTCGTGCTTGTCCGTGAGGCTATATAAAATAATAGGGAATTATCAATAGAAAATTGTAGCGACATAGCGTTGAGGCCATCTTACTCAGCGACCAGATCTTGTTGTTACTGGAGTCTCGTCTTTTTGCTGCGTTAGCGTCGTTGATTCTTGAGACTCGTGTTTCGTTGGTGTGACCATCTTCGAGGAGTTTTGTACTTGTTGATTGAATACCGTTATCGATGAAAGCTGGTTCCACTCTGTCGATGCTGATTACATCTGTCTCCCCAGCTTTTTCTATGGTAATCGTCTTATCTGTCCTCGCTGTCACTTTAAATGGACCGTCGTAATTCGGTTGCAGAGGTGGTTGTACCTCATCTCTTCTAATGAATACGTGAGTGCTGTTGTGTAGTTCCTGCGGTATGAATACTCGTCGTTGTTGTCGTCTGGGAGGTGTTCTTTTTGATTCGTTCATGTGCTCTCTCAAGCGTTGTACATAGTCGGTTACATCAGTCGGAACAAATTTACTTGAAATGAAAAATTCTCGGGGTAACCGTAGAGTAGTTCCGTATACCAACTCGGTTGGACAACATCCCATATCTTGTTTAATTGTTGCTCTTAGACCTAACATTACTAGAGGAAGCTTATTGGCCCAATCGTTGTTAATAGTGACGGATGTAAGAGATGCTTTTAATTGCCTATGTAGGCGTTCGACCATTCCGTTTGTCATTGGATGGTAAGATGTCGTTCGAATTCGTTTATTACCGAGGAGTTCTGTAAGCTGTTGAAAGAGTCGACTTTCGAATTGAGCTCCTCTATCATTTGTGATGATCGCTGGTACGCCGTAGTATGAAATCCAATCTTCAATTAGTGCTTTGACTACTGATTCGGCTGAGGTATCTTTTATCGGTACTGCCACAGGCCATTGAGTAAACCTGTCAATGCATGTAAAGATATAATTGTACCCATTCGAAATAGGCATTGGTCCTACAATGTTGATATGTATATGCTCAAATCTAGTATCTGGGTGTGAAAATGGACCCACTGCGGAGCTAGTGTGACGATGTACTTTGACTTTTTGACACTTCATGCATGCCTGCGTCCAATTACGTACATAGTGATCCATGCTTATCCATACGAATCGTTCACTGATTAGCTTTATCGTGGCTTTTATTCCGGGATGCGACATATTGTGCATAATTTCAAAAATTTTCTGTCGCAATGATGTCGGGATAAATGGTTGCGGTCGGCCTGTCGATGTATCACATATTACTTTCGTGTTACCGAACCGCACCTCTTCGAACACTAATGATGTCGTACCATCGGATCTGAGCTTATTTAATTCAATGTCCCTCTCTTGCAACTTTGCTAGACCGTTATAATCGATTCCACTTGCAATAAGCGTGTTTATCGTTGCTCTTGACAGTGCGTCAGCCACGTCGTTTTCTTGTCCTTTAATGTATCGTATATCGGAGGTGAACTGTGAAATGAACTCCAACTGTCGGATCTCTCTCGGGGAATAATTGTCTTGTTTTGCGCTTAATGCTTTCGTAAGTGGTTTGTGGTCTGTGTAAAGGGTAAAACTTATATCTTCCACCATATGACGAAAATGTTTTATTGCTAAGTAAATTGCCAGCAGTTCTCTTCCAAAAGTACTATATCTTGTTTGTGTAGGATTCAGTCTTTTCGAAAAAAATTAGAGCGGTTCCCATGTGCCATTTACTAACTGCTGTAAAACGGCTCCTACTGTTATGTTCGATGCGTCCGTCATTATGGCTAGTGGTGCTTCGTTCTTTCGTCGTACTAACATCATCTTCTCGTCTAGTGCTCGCTTGGCGTTCTCAAAAGCTTGTATATCATCCACTGAAAGACAGAATTTCCGAGTATGTCCTCTCAAGGCGTCCGTCAATGGTTGTAATATTGTTGCGCAGTTTGGAATAAATCATCTATAATAGTTTATTAGTCCCAAGAATCGTCGTAATTTTTTTGCGACTCAAGCAACGGATAATTACGAATAGCAGCAACTTCTGTCGGAACTGGCATGATACCATGTGAATTTATCATATGACCTAGGAATTGCAATGATTCCTTTCCGAACTCACACTTCTCCACGTTAATAGTGACGCCGTGTTCTTAAAGTTTCATAAACAACTATCGTAGATGTTATAGATGTTCCTCCACGGTAGCGCTAGCTACTAGTATATCATCAATATATGCATATACTCCTGTCAAACCTCTGACAACCTGATCGATGAATCTCTGGAAAGTTTAGGCTGCGTTGTTTAATCCGAAGGGCATTCGCAAAAATTCAAATAACTCAAATGGATTGGCTACAGCCGTTTTAGGTATACCTTCTGCCTCCACGGGAATATGGTAATAAGCCCGAACAAGATCAATTTGTGAAAATATTGTGACACCTCCCATATTGGTAGTAATGTCGTGGATATGCGGTACCGGATATCTGTCTGCTATAGTTTGCTTATTAAGGGCTCTATAGTCTCCGCATGGCCTGATTTCTCTGTTTTTCTTGAGAACCATATGCAACTGGGATGCCCAGGGACTATTGGATAGTCTTACGATACCAAGCTTCATCAATTTTTCGAACTCTCGTTTCTCAATCTTCAACCTTTTTGGGTCTAGTCTCCGTGGTCTTGCGTTGGTCGGTGGACCTTTCGTTATAATATGGTGCTGTACAGTGTGTTTAAGATCTCTGTTATCGTATGATGCCCTCGTCAAATCAGTGTACTCATTTAGAAGCGCTCTATATGGTTCGCTTTTGTCTTTTGACACTACTAGATTCATGGATACGTAATCGGTTGTCACTCCTTTTATCACTATTGAATGGTCTCCGTTCACGAGCCGGTTTCGTCGGGTATCCACTAGCAAGTCGAAATTCTTGAAGAAATCAATACAAATTATAGGTACAGATACATCTGCGATAACGAATTCCCAGCGAAATGAAGTACTACGACCAAAATTCAAAGTTACCTTACGCTTGCCATATGTTTTTATGTCGGATTTATTTGCTGCCTTAAGTGTTAGCGCAGAATTAATATTTCGTGTTTCGTTACTCACTGGAGTCACAACGCTTAATTCTGCTCCAGTGTCCACTAAGAACTGAGCACCTGTTACTCTGTCCTGAACGTAAAATA